CAGCGTCAGCATCGCAGGGAGGGGTGACAGTCGTTAACGGGAACAACACATATTTAATTAGGGTTAGGGTATATGTTAACAAATCAGATAATGCAAAAGCAATTTATTGATATTCTCAAAGTTATGGTCTTGACTGGTCTTGAAATAAAATCCCAAGTCCTCAATGTCCGAGACCGAGACAAGACCAAGTACAAAGGCGGTCGAGTCTGAGACGAGACCAAGACCATCAAAAAGTAAGACCGGTCTCGAGTACTACAACACTAGTGGCAGCTAATCTGGAAATGCTTCTTGGAGGCATGATCAAGGACAGTAATCGTACATGATTTTCCTGAAGTGGATAATGTGACTTTTGTAACATTTACTGCATGTTAAAATAATGAATTGGCAATTGAGTCTCCCCTTGCAAGTGTGTACTGAAATTAACTAACACAAATCTCTCTACGTCTAGAAAGCAGGAACTCACAGTAAGCTTTATACAAGTGCCTGCAGAGTCATATGATTTGTAGTTAATGGATTAAAACATGCAACTATTGTCATGTTTCTTTAGCACTGAACAAGCTTTAGTAGTTGTTTACCCAAATCTAAACATGGGAAATAATTCAACACAATCTGAGGCATTAGTAATTTGTTAATCACGCACAGTGTGGAGTTTGTTTCTAATTCTCACCCAGCTGATATTTTAACCATAGAGAAATGGAGGAGAGGAAGGAAGGTGGAGAAAGGGGGAACAAATAAAAACAGACATCAGCAGACTCCCATTGTTCACCTGCTGCCTTTAAACGCACTCTGTTGCAGAAACAACAGTCCACCTGCAGATGCAGTCTGGCGGATCCGTTCGCATTTGATCAATCACAATGTGTTCTGTGTGCATTTATACCTACATTTAACTTGATTTTTTTTTCCATGTCCAGATAGGATATCCAAATCCAGATTACATGGTAATGCCTGGTGTAAATGGAATCACAATGCGAGCCACCTCCAGATGGTTCTGCATTCATTTACGACTTGCATTAGGATTATCCAGATACACAATAGGGTTGAGCCATCCATCAGTCATCGACCTCTGAGCCACAACCATGTCTATGCCAGATGTAAATCCTGCCTATTGCTGTATCTCTCATTCGTTTCAGTTCTGTTCAACTCAGTGTGCTTTATTCACCCACACTGCATGAACAGTGAAGCACATTTTCTCTATCTCTTGTGCCCATTTACTCTTTTTCTCTCATTCTCTTTTTCTCTCTCTGAAGTAATTATATTAGCTGAGTTTCTCTGAGCTGTGAACTATCTCATTGAAATGACAGAAACCCTCCATTACATGCATTACACACACTGGCTGTGGCAGTTTAATGAAAGGGGAAGAGAGAGAGGATATGAGATGTTTGTAGGCGTATAAACATAAATACGTGTCACACACAGGCTTACAATTTAAAAGTCATACACACACAAACACACACACAAGGTCAGAGCAGCAGGCCTTGGTGAGGGAGGAAACAGCATAATCTTTGTAATCGAATTATTAAGCAGCTTTTTTTTATTTAGCATATTCATAACCCAGACTGCCAGCGCTGAGTCTCCAGCTAATTAACCGGCAGAGCAACACGCGAGCAGACAACAGCAGCTTTGTTTGGGAGATCGGCGTTGATCACAAACATCAGGCCATCGTGATACGAATAAAAGCCATCATCTTCCGCACTGAACAGATGTTGCCTCGGTAACGGCCAACAGGGAATGAAATGAGCAACTAAATAGCCCGACTGAAAAAAGACAAGTTTCAGTATTGGTGTGGATTAGCTAGTTGACACAAAACAATAAGTTTATATGAGCCGTTTGGCTGAGGATTTGCACCAAAGTGCCGTTCAGCAGTGGGAGCACTCCTAATGGGAACTGAACCCCTCCCACCTGGCAGCGTTAGTGCTTTACTCTCCCCATTATGCCAGGAAGGGAACCCAACTTCCAACCCTGAAAGTGTTAATGCCTTGCTCACATGCTGAGGTTTATGAATTACCGAACATGGAGAAATAATCCGCCAGACAAATCATCGGGATGTGGCATGCAGTGGATCCCAGGAGTTATTTTGTGATGAAGTGCTGCAATTTAGCTTTCTGTGAACTCACTCTCCCTGTCTTCCGCTTCAGTTTGTCATTCACAATGTTTCCCAGCATACCTTTCATTACATGCCTAGACTTGATAATGGTCTTTCTGTGGATATTCACTTACAAACTGAACAATTTAAAAAACAACTTCTCAATATGAAGAACTTTTTTTTCTTGTGTAACTTCATATTTAGAAAAGAAACAAGCAGTGTCTACCAATTCCAGAAAACTTGTGTGTTCTTTCTTATATAACACAATGATAAATACATCATGCAGTAATGTTAAAGGTAAACTCCATTTTGTAATCTGAATGGAACAAGCATCCTTATTGTAGCCTTGATTAATCTATTTATACAAGATCAATCCACATGCTGTCTGAGAACATTAGTCCTGTTAATGGATTATTGGACTGCCTGTAAACATCTTTCTGTTTGAACTGTTTGAAAGGGGCAGAGAACAGAATACAGCTTATGCTAATAGGATAATGTTGTACTCGTAGCTCAAAGGCTCCCAGGCAGCTGTAAATCCACTTTGGATTGGACCAATGATGTGAACAGTGTTCGGTGGCTGCGACACATAGCTCAGAGTGCAAACACTGCATGTCTGTTTCCTGTGCATTATGTCTGTAAAACAGTAAATCAGTGTAGTTAGGTTGGTAGGTTAGGGTGTACGTGCACAACAAATAATTTTAGGAAGTAATTGGTCAGTTTGGTACTAACGTTCTGTCAATCAGGAATATAGGTATGTTAACCATAAGATTATTTAAACCTCACACATAATGACTATATATTCCACCATACACAACGAGCAAAGACAGAGCACGACACATTGTATGACAGGTAGACTATGATTAGTTATGTCTCTAGTCAACCCCAGAGATTCAACAACAACACGGATTTTTGCATAATCTGACCGAAATGGAAACAGACATCAATCAAAATCTGTTTTGCAGTTTGTTAAAATAATGGGAAAGAAAGTGAAAAAAGACTGCTAAATGTGAATGAGATGGTGGCTAGAGAGGCGAGGACAATGCCTGGAGCTTGAACCTGTGGCTCCGACCTAAATACTTTATATGCAACTAGATCAGAAGGCAAATGAGCAAAATCCGCCCACTGTAAATATGTATTTCCCAAATGCCAACACAAACTGATCCAGACTGAACAGATTTCTGGCACAACTTCACTTAGTTCCAAGGTGCATGAAGAAGAGTGAATTATGAGAAGAGATCAGAACTCCAGCAACACTGATGACACAGGCCACAAGGCTCCATCGGGACCGTGATGAAGCCTTGCCCTTTTGACCTTTTCTGTGAGCTTTAAATTGCCAGACATCAAGCAGTCCTCTGGAATCTCAAACAGATACCAGATGCAGTCCTTGTACATAAAAAAATAATCCCCCTAAAATGGAAATTCTGACATTTATAAGTCAAAATTCATTTAGAGACTTACTTGATGTATGTGTTGGCGTTACCCTCAGGGAAGACGTACGGGTGTTTCTTCCTGAAGACGTGACCCACTCTGCTGCAGGGCAGGATCTCCAGACTGCCGCCACACTGCCACACCCGGAACGAAATCTCTGCACATACCACACACACACAGAATACCCTTTAAATTTTCTGCATTTTCATATTTAAATACTATTATAAAAGTCTCATATTTAACTGGATCCTGTGAACAATCCTTTTCCAGTATTTTGGCTCAATTACAAAGAGTAAACATTTAAAATGATATTCGTCTGTTGATCTTAATTTAGCTATTGAAGCTCAAAAGATCACCATTTATCTTCTCGACATCCATCTATCCATTCATTTTCTATACCAACATGTTCTATTTAGGTTTTCTGGGAGATTGATCATCGGGCGTGTATTTCTTCAACTTTTAACTTCCAACTCCAACATCAGCTTCTGATGTTTTGACATTTTTATAATGCCAGAACCAAAATAAACACTAGTAATTCGAATCTGCAGTGTACCCGTGGATGTACAGACAACTATCACTGGATTACTTTGATACTGAAGAAAACCTAAAATTGTGATGATTCTCAATCAAGTTCTGAAATCTCTTTTCTAGGATTTCAGAGATAAAATCCTCAGAAAGTGCAAGTTGCATTGAATGATATCGACGTGTGTCTCATGTCTTTGTGTATTTCACTGAGTTATGACGCACAGGAGAAGTACAATTTTGATTCAAATTCACCTCACGTTGTATCTTTGGCTCCTCTTTAAGTATACGGAGCACCTGGGCAGGCTTTTGCCTTTGTCCTTCTGAATGTCTATGTCTATTGCAGATAATATCCTGTAATCTTGAAAGGGTTAAAATGATGCCTGGATTACTGAATTAACAGACAGCATTGTAACAGCGAAATGTAATCACTGTGCCAAAATAATTTCATTCGGGGAGAAAGGTCACCTAAAACAACAACACATTTCTATAGCAGTTTGGTAAAACAATGTTTTTGTTTACCCTAAATGTAGTCATTATCAGCTATATATAATTTTGCCATCACAACTGTCCATACTGCAATTTTAATATGTTTGTCTATTCTGTACACATAACATCTACTGCATGTCTGCATGCACAGGAATCCCTCCTCTGTTGCTGTTCCCAATGTTTATTCTATCCCCCCCCCCCTTTATTCCTTTTTAGGGACTTAGATTGTAAGGTCTAATGTTGTACCGATTGTAAAGCCCACTGAGGCAAATTTGTGCTATTGGCAGAGATGCTCACAAGTCTCTGAGCTAGAGTCCAAGTCAAGTCTCAAGTCTTTGAGCTAGAGTCCAAGTCAAGTCTCAAGTCACTCATGGTTATATTGAATGTTGTATCACCTGCTGCGTTCAAACCAGGCTGCTTATAAAACTGCTTACCTATAAGGAATTCTGTAACTGTAACCTTTTTTTCACTTACAGAGCACAACAATGTAATGTGCAATGCAATTAATGGCAGCCTATCAACTACTGTAAGTCAACACCAACTACAGACTCTTACAGACTCTCACAGTGTACCATTATAACTAAATAAAACTGCAACAAACATATATATATACATATATATATATATATATATATATATATACACACACACACACACACACACACACACATATATATTTACATTAATAATTAACGTGATGGGAGCCAGCGGGATGTAGACGATTACGTTAAAGACTACCATACCTTTTGCAAGCAAACAAACGCTCATTCACCTTTTCATAACGACCAACAGTCATTGACAAAAATACTGAAGTCTTTTGAGGACGAGTCTCAAGTCGAGTCTGAAATGACTGAAGTGCAACTCGAGTCCGAGTCTCAAACTCGAGTCCCCATCTCTGGCTATTGGGCTATATGAATGAAACTTTACTTGACATGCATGTTCCTTTTTTAGTCCAACAAAATGACAGATGTCTCGACAATACTCATCCCTGATACAGTGGGTAAGTGTTCTTATTTTTATCATGATGCACTTTGTCCTTTGCCCTTAAAAGGTACTATATAAATTAAGCTACTTAAGATATATAACATCAAATGTCTCATGTTAACTTTACAAGCTCTCTCTCTGTGTAACCAGGCTTGTTGTTTAATTGAAGCTTTGCCTTTTTCGTTCTGAATCTCCGTGTTAGTTTTCTATCCTGCACATCATGGCTAAGTGGGCCAAACCATTCTGAATATTTGATGATCTGCTGACGGACTCTGATATGTTTGCCTGATTCAGTGTGAGTGTGTGAGAATAAGTACGTGTGTTGTGTTACTACGTGCATGCGGGTGCATTCGTCGAAATGCACTGCATGTGTGTTCGTTTGACCTGCTTATACTGTGCTCATTCTCCCATGTGAGCACAGCAGCACAGATAAAGGACACAACTAACTTCACTTTAGTTCACATCATCGTGTGTGTTGTTATAGCGTTAAAGTTTCTGTCTGTCTGTGAGCTCAGAGGAGAGAAAGAGAGAAATAACAGAGTTTCCCCAAAGAACGAGATGCTGAGAACTTTACAAAGTTTTACAGCGATTGCGAGGGAGAGAGAGAGAGAGAGAGAATAGGAGAGAGGAAGAGAAGAAATGAGTGCATGGACTGGGTTTGACGAGGATGAAGAGAGATGGAAGTAAAGATGAAACACCAGAGAGTACAATGGAGAACAAGGGAAGTCAGCGAGATAGTGAGATACCGACACAGAGCCTGTGAGACTGACAGAAACATGACAGAGAGCAAATGAGTGTGTAGGTGTGCGTGTGCGTGTGTGTGTGTGTGTGTGTGTGTGTGTGTGTGTGTGTGTGTGTGTCTGTGTGTTTTGGGGAGAGAGAGGAAAAGCAGGCTTTCATTGATCTGAGAAAAGCAGCAGTACAGCTATCAGCAAACTGACTCCAACACTCACACACTCACACACACACACACACACACGCACACACACACACACAGAGTTCACATGACTGTAGGCAGGTAGCAGCAGGAGAGCCAGATGTTGCTTCTGGATAGATGTCAGACTGTAAGGACTTTTTTTCTGTTGAATGAAAGGTTCACCTTCGTTCACCTTTATATTCCTATCAGTTAACTCGGCAGCTTAATCATTCCTTCCTCTTTGTTCTCCACTCAGCTGTTCATGAGCCATTTGTGCACTTTATTATGATAGCTATCTAAAAGCCAACCTTGTCTAATAGAAAATATGATTACAGTATAAAACTGATTTGCTATGTGAAATATGTTTTGGAGGAAACGCAACTGTTGCCTGGATTGTGTTCACGGGCAACACTTTTTTCCTAGTCCAGGACGCGTGACTGCTCTGTATTATAGGGAGGAGGTCAGGATGCATGAATAAAGGACCAGCCCATCTCCTGCTTCAAGTGAGTGTCAGTGTTTTCTATATTTAACCAAAATCATGATTGTGAAGGAATTTTAGGGGTACTATGACACAGGTTTCCTCAGATCATGTTAGAGTCAATTACTGAGCTAAAATAAGCCAAAGGTGTCGGCCTGTGGCTCTCCAGAACAGTAGGTCAGACCTGCTTGGTCGACTGAATGACGCAGCTGTCTTGATAATGATGCACTGTTATCCATTTGTTCCAGATTATCAGACTGACTGGCTTCATGTAGAAAGTGTTGCATGTGCCTAGTGTTATGACATTACATTGATTACATTTAATCTTTTATGCGTGTTCTTTTACTTTTATTATTATTAGTTGTTGTTGTTGTTGTTGCTGTTGTTATGTCTTATTATATATATATATATATATATATATATGTATTGTGTTTTTTATCCTTAACCTTTCCTTCTTCTATACTCCTTATGTTAGTTAGTCTGTCCACATTTACTAGAGATTAGGTCAGAGCTGTGAGATTGTTTTGGTGTTTTCCCCCTCTTGTTATCTTTGCTTGAATCTTCATTCAAGGCTGGGAGAAGATCTCTGTTCCCCAAAACATAGAAACCTACTAATCTTCACACATGTATAGAGGGGTGAACAATTGGTGAATCCCTGTAGGTCTAAGAAGGATAAATATCCCCACACAGGAAGTACTACTACTCAGACTTGGTGTTGGCATTGCATGTGTTCACACTTTGTATGCTGGCACTGTATCTCCCTGGCCGGGCTCAGTACACAATGCCGTGTTAGTCTTCATCAGTCTCCAAAACTTGTTACTCACTCCAGAACCTGGCTCACTCAATTTCCAGATGCCTGTAGCATAATAATTGTAGAAAAATCTGGATATGATAAGATCAATATAAAGGTTTCTTCATTCTGTTGATTTAAAAAACATAAACTGGGTGAGGTTATTATATTTCAGACCAAACAATTTGTGAATATAAACTAGTTGTTCATGAACATTAAATAACAGGGTTGCTAGAAACACAATGAAGAAATTGACTATTCTTACTACCGCCGCTCAGACGTAAAGCATCAAACACTGTATTTGCATTGGGTGTTTCTCGTCCATCAGACACAAGGGGAAGCACTGAGCTTATTGGGATTTGTGTACAATCATAAGCATGTCACTACATTACAATTACAAACCCATCCTCGAAAAAACAACTGAAAAATTAAACATTAATTGAAATAAATAACCATTTAAACCAAGGTATCTATCCCTTTAATAATCTCTCTGGGTGAATTAGTTTTGTTTGTGGGCAATGTGGGATATTTATGATTTAATATTCCATATATTGTGATTGAGTATTGTATTGTAATGTAAACTGAGAGGAAACCATAAATATTTATATCTATTTGGTAATGATTTTCCAGTTGGTAGACCTTTAATAGATTAATTTGACAGTGTACTGGTGTCTTCTCAGATTAGAGAGCTTTTGGTTTTCTGCCTCTAGGTTGACTCTAGGGTGTGCAAGAGTTTTTAAAAGTTTTAAACTAGCATAAATAATAAACATTTCTTTTTTGATGCACATGGGTGACATGTGGTGAGATTTCTTTCTAAATATGTGTCATTATGGCACCAGTATTGCACCAGTAATTTAAATCGGTGCAATTTTATTTATTTTTACCAGCTCTCTCTGGCAGGATGATGATGTAAACATATGTCAGACTATCAGAGCTGCCTTAAAACGGATCAATTACAGTTCTACATACATTCAAACCTTTGGATTCAGACTCAGAAAACAGTTTGCATCACTAATTTCAGTTATTACATCATAACCACTATATTTCTTTGTTTGTCAGTGTTGTCAGCTTCATGTCTGTAAAACCAATGACTCACCAAAGTTCTCCCCGCCCCAGATGTCCATGGCAGTGTCGTATTTGCCGAGGTGATTGAACCAGGACCTGTCAATGACAAAGAGCCCTCCCGCGATGATGGGAGTCCTGTCAGAGAAAGAGAAACAACAACAAGAGAGAGAGAGAGGAGTGTGTGTGGTTTTTAGAATGATATTTCAATAGTGTCTGTAGTGTAATTTTGTTGAACCTCCCGTTTCTCGCTGACATTTATGCTTGAGTTTCTCCAGAATTTAATCAAATCTAAAGTCATTCACCTCTTTTGTTGCTCTCTGTATTTTCCAGAATAGAAAAGGTTGGTTTGCTGCCCCACACACATACTAACAGAGGCTGATTCATGATCTGGACGATGTGACGGGTGAATAGCTGAGGGCGAGCATGTGTCATCAAATACCCTCTGTTCATCAACAATTATCCTGCCTGCAAATAGCACTCTGTGTGTATGTGTGTGAGAGAGTCTGTATGTGGGTAGAAGCACATAAAACCTTTTTCAAGTTCAATTTGTCCTTGTGTGTTTAAAGGAAGTCTGTGTGTATGTAAAACTTTGTGCTTTGTTTGTGAAATTATCATAAAATAACTTGGCATATAAATTAAATGAGACAAGGCTGGTGCATATTTGTGTGTGTGTCTGTGTGTAATCTTCTACTTTTATCTTTGCGAGGACCGATCCACAAAGGTCGTTTTACCTAAACAAGTTTCCAAGCTTATCAGACATCAGAATACTGCACTGCATTTAGGATATCATGAGACCGGATTTTACAAATCTGAAAATGTATCCATGGTGACAGTCATTTAATCCTGAGTCATGGCAATCACCAGGTAAACAGCGTTCGAGTTACAAAGTAATCTACGGTACAAGGGAAGGCTGCACAATATATCGTTTCAGCATTGTCATCACAATGTGCCCTTGCCCAATAGTCACATCACAGAACAATGCAATGTCAAGAAAGTCAAATTACCTCAAACACTTCCACTTTTTTGTTGTTTGATACAAAAGGAAAACTAGTACAGTTCTCATTTTCCATTACTAATGTACAAAATAAGTCTGATGGAACATCATTTACTCTAATTTAGGGGTTCTTGGATACACAGTTTGTTGCTAGTGAGTAACAAGCAGGTTCTGCATGCACAGCAAACCACCAATCACAATATTGTTCTTGATCAGTTTATCAAACCGCTAAAATAGGCCCTGTCCCTGTTAGTTGTCAACAACAACTTTAAAACAAGCGAGGAACAGGAGAAAACCACCGACACTGTGGATTTGGTAACAAAAAGAAAAGCTACTTTTGTAAACCACTCAGGCTGGTGTTTAACTGCTTTTTTATCTTTATTTTTTATCATTTTGTTTAAATAATGTTTACTGCATTAAAGCTCAAGAAAGCATATGCACTCAAAAAAAAGTGATTTTCCCCCCTACAGAATCGCCCCAGTAATTCTAGGTTGCTTAACTCTTCTCAAATAGAGTAATTGAAGTAATCTGCTGACAATTCCTGTATTTTTTCATATCAAAATATATCGCAGAAGAAAAATATTGTAATGTCAGTTTTTTCAAAAGTGCGTGTGTCTCGGTCCAGCTTCCGCAGGTTGACGTCACACAGACAGAAGCAGCTCACTGACATCCAGGTAGAGAGAGACCATCATAATAAACACTTCATCTCTCTACCTGTATCTCCATAACACACACACCCAAGCATACACCCACACATACACACATACAGGCACATCACCACCTGTCAATCTCTAAGTCGTTTAACACTCCACACATGCCTCCACTAAAAAGTTAGTAAAAGAAAGTCAGACAGTCACAAGTTGGCACCGCGGTAAATCTGGGCTCCTGCCACCAATCTGACTTATGAAGAAGGAACGAAGCCAAAGTTTATTATTTATAACTCTGTGTGTGTGAGGCTGAGGCTCCTCTGCCTTCCTTTGTGTGTTTGTTCATCTCTCCAAAGCAAATGATTTGTCAGGCATTGATGATTTGATTTTGCGTAAACTTTCAGTCAATTAAGTTTTTTGCCACAGCGCAGCGTGCTGCGTCATTTGTCATTTTAGCAGTGGTTGGTCACCCAAAGACTGCTATTACCCACCACAGCCACAGAAAATGTGAAGTTTATTATTATGTTTATGTTTTGTTGTAATAGTCTATGATTGTGGGTCCTTCCTGCCATATTCTGAAAGTCTTAAATTATGGGCTAGAGCCTTTTGGAAAAATTGTTTATATGTCAAATTCAATACACTGACAATGTACAGCAGTTTATATTTATGGATCATGTGTTTTTCATAATTGCGAAAATGTGTGATACATTATCATGACATAGCTGATTGTGAGGTTCAAAATGTAACCCATACCTGTGCAGAAACAGGCAAACTCTATAGATGGACATACACAGTCAGATGTAATGTTGAAACCTCATAGCTATACTAAAAATACTGGCACTTTTATAATGGTTTGACTTGCTGTCTATTTGCTGCTGTTGCTCGTCATTGCTCTGTCTCAGTGTTTTCCCTATATGCATTCAACGGCAACACAATATGCTCGCTATCTCTGGGGACGAGCGAGGATTATAAATCGAACATGGCCAAACATTGCCACCATTTTGCAGTCTGTTATTGGTGGTTCGAAAGTGCAGTTGTTGCTGCTTACCTATTAAAAGTTCAGCAAAGACGTTGAGACGACACAGAACGGCTCAGAGTTAGGCCACTCCTCTTTATCAAAGGCGGTACCCTGTTTGTCTTTATGAACAGTTATGTCTGTTAGCTAACTACAAAGTCAGAGAGATAGAACATAAATATTAGGGCTGTCCCTGACTAAGGATTTACATAGTCGAATCAGAATCGTCAAGTCCTGCCAATAGTCGACCGATAGTCAAATCATGTGTGAGCGGGGAGGAGGTTACACATGGTAGCTCCGCTTTAATCTTGAGAAGCTGCAGGGCTGCAGTCTCTATTCATTCAACTTACACTGTAAATTTCCAGCTAAACTGAGGCTGAAGACCTTTTTTCTCTCTCTCTCTCTCTCGCTTGTCATTCACCAGTCTTGTGTGAGTTTTGCGTGCGTGACGTGCTGCCGACAACTGCATGCACGTCATGGTTCCTTGCGGATCTATTTCAAGTAGCTATTTAAAAACGATAAATTATTCTTTGTTTGGTTCATCAACGGTGATAAATTATTCGAAAGTCCCGCGACGTGCGGACAACTCTGCACAACACCAGTGAAGCTGGGGCTCCGTCCGTTCAGCAAGTGTTCCTCTTCCGCCACCACACATACTCTACTCCTACACATGTGCACTGACAACCCAGGGTTAGGGTTACAATTTTGGATTGAAAGTTTTATTCTTTTTACTTGTTTATTTACAGCATTAAACGTTGAAATGTATATTGTAATAGGCTGTAAATGAACTTAATGGGAGAAAACTGGAATCTTTGACTATTGGGGGTCAGCCCTAACATATATATATATATAGATCAGATATCTTAAGGACCACCAAACTCTATATATCTGAAAATACATTCCACAGTGCCATGTCATACAAACCGAAAGCAATTAGTTCACCATAAGGTTACATCAATTCACTGGAGTCTTGGAGTAGAAATGTCAGGTGGATCTAAAGTTGGCCTGACTTTGTGCAAGTGCAAGTAGTACAATTCATTCTTGGTGACTGCAGTAGAAAGAAAAAACAAACTCTGACACGGGATATTAAAAAAATAATAATTCGGTTGATCCTTATCGGTAAGTTATCTTCACTGGGAAAAGACTAGTATATATTTAACTAAACGTAATTCCATCACTGCACTGCCTTTTAGACCACAAATGTCAAAAAAGTATGTTCATACATGTTCATGCAGTGATATCAACAAGAAAACGCACACAATCGTTAACCTTTATAACTTCAATCTATCGCTGACTGAAATACATGGTAGGCTACAACAAAGCTAGAGATCTCTAAGTCCTTAAAGGTAATAGTTTGTGAGCACAAAACAATCCCCTTTCACAGCTTTAGGGGCTCCATAAGAAGCCAAAAGGACACACACATACACATGAAAAATTGCTTAAAGTTGAGGATGCCAATGGGTTCAAAAGCTTAGACACAATGAAAACAACTTCATGAAGAAAAGTGTTGAACTTGTTTATAATAAAATCTAAAGATAGCTGTTTAAATGGATCCCATATCTAATAATGAACTCACTAGAAGTGTGTGTATATGATTTGATTGTTGTTAACTGTTGTTACTTTTAAAACATTTCTTATAGCCTCATTTGAAATACAATATATTTTATATGGCAAAACATATTTTGGATATGCATGCAGAGAAATTTAAGTGTTTTGACTGTTAAAAGTATAAAAGTATAGTGAAAGATACATACAATCAGAATTACAATCTTCCCTATGGAGAATATGGATAAAAACTGCTTGTCTGTACAGATCATGTGCACGCACACACAAGCACACAGAAACATTCGGACCACATTTAGCAGCAATTAAAACTCTCCACTCGAGCTTGAAAATAGGAAGTGAAGATCAGGGTTATACGCCCACGTCAAACTTTTTGCCGCAAGTTTTTTATGTATTTTCTTTCTGGACTTTCTGAACATGAGGATAACTTCCTCAAATATTTGGTGAATAGTCAGAGAAAGGAAGAACTTTACATGTTAGAAACCAACTTGAGCTTTCAGGTTTAAAATGAAAGCAACATTAGCTGATTCTGTCGTGTCATAGTTTCTTTTTTCCACATTTCCTTTTTATTAACATCAGGACTGGATTCTATCTTCATTGTTCTTTTTTTCCTGTCACTCCTACCCTCCTCTTCACCCTCTTTTTCCTACCTTCTCTATTTCTACTTGTTTGCATTAACTTAATGAACCAATGCAGTCTATTGTAAATTTTCGTGTATATGTGCATTGGCATTGTACTTTACGTTTGTGTGTGTATGTGCATCAGTATGTTTACTTGATTGGCTGGGTAGGGTCGGTCCGACGAGCTCTCTGTTCAGGTGACAGCTGCTCCCACTTAAAATGGAGACTCCAATCAAAACCTGCAGAAAAAAGTTTATACATGTACATATGTTTTATGTTTTATAGCCACATTTCTTTTTGCTGATATTATGGTAAATCAATACATAGTGAAAAGAGGAAGGAGGAAATTATATGTTCAGATCAATCAGTCAAATAAAGTAATTTCTTAACAAATTGCGGTGGTGATGGGGCAATGGATAAGACACGTGCCTTTGGTTTGAGAGACCTGGGTTCAATGCCCCACTGTGATACATCCACCAATGTGTCCCTGAGCAAGACACTTAACCCCTAGTTGCTCTGGAGGCGTGCGACCTCCGACATAAATAGCACTTGTAAGTCGCTTTGAATAAAAGCGTCAGCTAAATGAATAAATGCAATGCAAATTGCATATTTATTGTTACAAATATCAATAATCCATCGTGTGTGTTGGTTTGTGTGTGTTTGCTGATAAGGCAGTCCAGCAGGCCAAGGACTTGCTGCCACAGCACTCCCATCCCCCATCTGTGTGTGTCATGTGTGTGTCTGTACATTTCATCATGTGTGTGTGAGTGTGTGTGTGTGTCTCAACATGTGTCT